CCAAGGGTGGTTAACGTGCTCCACTCAAGGGTCAACGAGAATCGAAAGTCAGAGGAGAGACGCCAGAGAGTAAGCGCATTTAAACAGGCATGTCTACGCAAATAGGGGAAAAAAGACCTCGGCCTTGACCAAAAGCCAAGGAACCCAATGATAACCTCACGTGAGGCCGACCTAGAGATGGTCCAACATCCGCAAATGATGCATTGGTAGTATCCCTCGCAGGGTAGGGAAATGCCCAAGTCAAACGCATCCTAATAGATCAAGGCAGGCTCTTGTGACATAATGTACATCAGAGTTACAAGGAGCTGGGCCTTCATCCTGACGACCTGGAACAATCCAACAATCCTATGGTCCGGCTTCAATGGAACGCCGACATGGCCATAGGCGCCCGCAAGCGTAGAGGTACAGCTGGTACCTAAAGAGATCAAGACAGAATTTCTGGTGATTGACACACCCTCACCATATAACTCATCTTGGGAAGACCATGGTTGCACGCAATGGGGGCAGTTCCCCTCAACCTTGCATCAACTACTTCGGTTCCCCACAGAGCATGGAATTGGAAGAAGTCAGAGGAGACCAACTACAGGCAAAAAGTTGCTGCCATGGCAGCAACAAAGTCCACTTGCTACATTCGAGAGGGCCAAAGGAGGCAAGAGATGAAGACGAGCGACATGGGGTCCTAGATGAATGTCGGCAAGGAGCCAACCGAAAAGAGGTGAAGAAATGCTAAAAAGTCCTAGTCAGGAGGGCGCGAAGGAACGTTTCTTTCTTCTCTTCAGGCTTAGCCGAAGAAGAGGAAAGAGAACTGAAAAGTTTTTTTAAGAGCTCAACATTGAGGTATTCGCCTGGACACTTATGAAATGCCTGGGCATTGACCCGAGGTCACTTGCCACAGACCTAAACGTCGACAGGTTCGGCAAACCTGTGAATTCCAACGAGCTAGAAGACCGCGTTGATGCACGTCGAAGCAGTAGAAGAGGAAGTAGACAACTTCTGGAAAGCCGGCCATCCGAGAAGTTCAGTACCCAACATGGCTGTCCAACACAGTAGTAGTAAAGAAGAAGAATGGCAAATGGAGGGTTTGTGTAGACTTTACCAGCCTCAACAAAGCTTGCCCGAAAGACAGCTTTCCTCTGCCCAAAATCGACCAACTGGTAGACGCCACTTCAGGACATGAAAGGATGAGTTTTTTGGATGCATACAGAGGGTATCACCAGATTTCCATGTACCCACCAGACGAGGAGAAAACTGCGTTCATCACCCCTAAAGGCTTGTACTGTTACAAGGTAATGCCTTTTGGGTTAAAAAACGCAGGAGCAACTTACCAAAGGTTAGTAACAAAAATGTTCAAACACATGATTGGCAAAACGGTAGAAGTCTACATTGATGACATGGTCGTGAAGACCAAAGAATCTAAGGGACATCTTGTTGACCTAAAAGAGATCTTTGACATACTCAAAACATACCGGCTCCAACTCAACGCATCAAAGTGCGCGTTTGGAGTTGGATCAGGTAAGTTCCTGGGGTATCTGGTAACAAGAAAGGGCATAAAGGCCAGCCCCGACCAAATCAAGGCCATCTTAGAGCTGGAAAGCCCAACGTCGGCGAAACAGGTTCAGATGCTTACTGGAAGGGCTGCAGCCCTAAACAGATTCATCAGCAGAAGCTCAGATAATTGTAGACCCTTCTTCAATTTGGTGAAAAAAGCCACAGACTTTCTGTGGACAGAAGAATGCGAAGCCGCTCTAACCGACCTAAAGAAGTACCTGATCACAGCTCCGGTTCTTTCCAAACTAGAACCAGGGGAAGAACTGTTTTTGTACTCAGAACACACAGTAAGCGCAGTACTAATCCGGGAAGAAAAAGGGGAGTAAAAAGCGGTTTACTATGTAAGTAAAACCTTGGTAAGCGCAGAAACAAGGTATCTACCACTGGAAAAATTAATGCTGGCCTTAGTAGTGGCTTCAAAAAAATTGAACCATTATTTTCAGGTGCACAAGATTGTGGTCCTAACAGAGCACCCACTGAAGTCCTTGTTGCAACAAGGAGACTTAACAGGAAGGATAGCAAGATGGGCAGTAGCCCTGGACCAGTATGACTTGGAGTTCAGGCCAAGAACAGCAATAAAGGGCCAAGTTTTGGCCGACTTCGTGTCGGAATTCACACCTGAGAGAGTCGAACATCGGACTCCGTTGAGCCGAGATGAGCAGTATCCCAGCAAGCAAGGAGAAACCCAGCCAAAGGCAAAAGAACAAGGGAAGCAAAAACTCAGACCCTGCAGCATCTACATCGGCGATTCATTCAGGCTGTTCGTCGACGGAAGTTCAAACCGTCAAGGAGCAGGAGCAGGAGTACTGCTGATATCTCCAGATGGAGAAATAATAGAACAGTCCATCCGTTTGGGTTTCAAAGCCTCAAACAATGAAGCAGAATATGAAGCATTAATTGCAGGGCTAAAACTGGCAGCAACGGCAGAAGCAGATGAGGTAATTGTTTTTTGTGATTCACAACTTATTGTTAACCAATCAACAGGAGAATTTGCAGCCAGGGACGAAAGGATGTCGGCATATGCAAAAGAAGTCATTAGATTGGCAGCCCTATTTCAGAACTGCCGACTGCTACAAGTCAGCTGAGATGACAACACTCACGCCGATGCATTAGCATACCTGGCAAGTTCAATACTGACTGGGAAAACAAGAACAGTCATAATCGACTATATGTCGGGCCCGAGCATAGAACCAGGGAGCACACAGCAGCAAGCAATGTGTGTAGATATTGGGCCAAGCTGGATGGATGCAATAGTTACATTCCTGAAAGACGGAAAACTGCCAGAAGATCGTAAGGAGACACACAAAGTCAGATTGAAATCTGCAAGATTCTGCCTAACAGAAGATGGACATCTCTCCAGAAGGTCCTTCACAGGACCCCTTTTAAGGTGCGTACACCCTTCAAAGGTTGAAGATTTCTTATATGAAATTCATGAAGGAATTTGTGGAAGCCATGCTGGGGGCAGATCATTAGCCCACAGGGCCATTACCCAGGGGTATTGGTGGCCCTACATGCAAAAGGATGCTGAAGCTTACGTGAAGAAGTGTGAACAATGCCAAAGGTTCGCACCTTTGATACATCAGCCAGCTGCTGACCTAAACCCAGTGTCCAGCCCTTGGCCGTTCGCCCAATGGAGCATGGATCTGGTTGGGAAACTTCCCCAGGCAACTGGGCAGAGAAAATACTTGTTGGTGGCAACAGATTACTTTACAAAGTGGATAGAGGCAGAACCTCTTGCCAAAATCCGAGATGTAGACGTCAAGAACTTTATATGGAAAAACATCATCACCAGATTTGGGATTCCAAGAGCAATAGTTGCCGACAACGGAACACAGTTTGACAGCAAACTCATCAAAAACTTTTGTGCCAAATTTAAGATCAAGAACTACTTTTCAACACCAAGTTTTCCCCAAAGTAATTGCCAATCAGAAGCATCCAACAAAGTAATTCTGGATGGAATAAAGAAGAGGCTGCAGGCAGCAAAAGGAAAGTGGGTAGACGAGTTGCTCAATGTGCTTTGGGCATATCGGACTACGCCGAGAAGATCAACAGGGGAATCCCCCTTTGCCATGGCTTATGGCACAGAAGCTGTCATCCCATTGGAGATCGGCATCCCAGGGATCAGGACCCAAGGAGTAGAGAATGGCACTAACGACATAGTCTTAGCCCGAGATCTGGACCTTTTGGAAGAACGAAGAGAAAAGGCTGCAATTCAACTAGCAATATACCAGCAACAGCTTGCTAGAGCTTACAACAAAAAGGTCAATCCAAGAGATTTTCAAGTCGGTGACTTAGTCTTGAGAAAAGTCGTTGGCAACAAAAAGGATCCGAGAGAGGGCAAGCTTGGCCCAAACTGGGAAGGACCCTACACAATTACTTCGGTATTGGGCAATGGAGCCTATCGACTTGAAGATAACGAGGGCAGAGCACTGCCAAGACCTTAGAACACTTGTAATTTGAAATTCTTCTATCATTAGATGTGCAGTATTTTTTGCCGATGTCTTTAATAAAGTTTTCTCAAAAGTTCTTTCAAAAACATATGACTGATAAAATTACATACTAATGTTTTTGAGACATAAATAATAAGAACCCAAGTAGAACTCAGGTTCATATTGGGGGTAGAAAGAAAAAAGAATACGTTTATCACTTGTTGAAATTTGTAGCAATTTACAAGTTGGTCAAACCAAGATAATGTTTAAAACTGAAATTAGACCGAGATGATGCTTAACCAAAGATAAGCCGAGGTGATTCCTTGTCTCCACTTGTTGAAATTTGTAGCAATTTACAAGTTGGAGTCGAGCTGATTCCTTGTCTCCACTTGTTGAAATTTGTAACAATTTACAAGTTGGAGTCAAACTGATTCCTTGTCTTCACTTGTTGAAATTTGTAGCAATTTACAAGTCGGAGTCAAGCTAATTCCTTAATTCACTTGTTGACGTTTGTAGCAATTTACAAGTTGGAATTAAGCTGATTCCTTATCTTCACTTGTTGAAATTTGTAGCAATTTACAAGTTGGAGTTAAGCTGATTCCTTATCTTCACTTGTTGAAATTTGCAGCAATTTACAGGTTAAGGTAAAAACTAAGTATATTGTTTAAACACTTGTTGAAATTTGTAGCAATTTACAAGTAGATCATTGTTATAACTCGAGAAAAAATTTACAATATATGTTTCACACTTGTTAGAATTTATCAAAAGTTTGCAGATCTATATCTTGCCGAAGTAAAGTTTAATATTGATTGTACCCGAGGTACGTAACCCCGAGAAGATTGCACAAAGGCAACAAAATATAGAAGGCATACAACCAAGCAGAAGCAAATCAAAAAGAAATTAAGGAATTGAAGCATCCATAGAAAAACTATTATTCAAAAGGAAGGCACATCGGCCATAAAAGGAAGTTTACATTGTTCAGAAGACAAAACGAAGTATAAAAAGTACAGAAAAACATTCGAATCAGGACTCTTCAGCATTAGCAGCTGGAGGGGCTAGGACCTCGGAAGACTCTGGTGGAAGCTCCTCGGCAACCTTTTCTGCCTCAATCTCGGCATCAATCTCAGCCAGCGTTTTGTCCAGATTTCTTTCAGCCAATAGAAGGTCGGACAATAGTTGACCGATGGCAATTTCCTTGGGTACCTCCCCAACCTCATCACCCTCCTCATCCAAGGTTAAATCCATGACATGCTTAGCAGGAGGAGGGGACTTGGCTTCAGCAGCATCCTTGGGTTTCCTCACCAAGGCCTCATCATCATTTTTCTCATCATCCTCATCCTCGGCATCAGCCTCAGTCTCTGATTCGTCTTCAACCTGACTTGGAGGAGGAAATGGTAAAGGAATGGCATCGGCATTACGAAAGGGCGAGTCAACAGGGAGATCAAGCTTTTTTATCAGGGACATCCAACCAAGGGAAAATCCCCTGTTGCATGCCTGCCTGACTTGAAGTTTATAATCCTCTGTGACGTCGGCCATACCCTGGGCGTAGGCCTTTTCATCAGCCTCTTTGACTTCGGCCTCCTTGGTGGCCAAAGCCTGCTGGAGCTCCTTCTCAGCCTGGGCCTTTTTTACCTCGGCCTCTTTCTTCTCAGCTTCAGCTACTTTTCGGATAGCCTCAGCAGACTCTGCTTTCTCTTCAGCCATCTGCTGGGCCTTAGTAGCCGCCTCAGCCTGATCCTCTAGTTTTTTCATCTTTGATTCAAGTAATTTGATCTCCTTCTTCAGGGAAGACGCTTCCCTCTTCATATCAACCAATCTTTGCCGATTTTCAAAGGATTGCATTGAAAATGAATGGGCGTGCTGAATGGCCTAAAAGAAAGCAGGAGTATTAGAGAAACTTCCAAAAGTGAAGCAGAAGGAAAAGTTACAAGTTCAAAGCAGGAATACTTACTTGAACGGAGTGCTGAAGCATTAGCGCGTAGTTCTCATATTCGCTGAGCCCAGCATTTCGCTCCAGATCTTTTGGAAGGAGAAGAGCAGTGCTAAGGGCAACACCGACATTAATATCGTCGGCACTTTCACTCGACATGATAGGCCTATCCTCCAAAGTTAATTGTGGGGCCCAGGGAATGTCGGATTTCTTGGACCCAGAAGTGGTAGCAGAAGCAGACCTTGGCCTCTTTGACTGTGTGGACCCCGAGGGTTGGGTCTCAGCGGATCTTTTTGTGGAAGCAGAGGCAGTCTTTTTGCTCTCAGCCAGTTGAGAGATAGACAAAGCATCCTCAGCCTCGGCGTCAGTAGCCTTGGCTTTGGGCTGAGCCTTTTTAATTCTCTTCGGCTTTGGTGGGGGCATAGACTGGGTTGGTACAGCGTCAGCATCAGTCGGCAGATCGGCTAGAAGATTTTGGGCAACTGGCTTTGCACGACCCATTTCAGCAGTTTAACAAGGCGGCGTCGACGTTTTCTTTCTGGTATTGGGATCAAGTATGGGGCCGATGTAGATGGCAGATCGGCTGGGTCAGAAGTGGATCCTTCGTCTGCTCGTGATATGGAAGCAATGGAAGGAGTTGTGGCAGAAGGTGGAGAAAGACTCTTTTTCTTCCTTTTTGGGACGTCGGGTAAAGTGGATTTGTATGTCGGAATGAAGTTCAGCAACAGGGGAGCCTTGCGCTTGTGGATTGGAAGACCAAGAAGCTTCTTTAAGTCTTTTCTAGGGAAGAAGGATTGACGGAAGTTTTTTGGTAGTTGATGAAGATCTGCAGGACAAGCAAACAGACATTAGAAACAGACAAAATTTTAAAAACTTAAATAAAAACAACTAAGTGTTGGCACTGGGCTCTTACCCTTGCCCTCTTTAACTGTTCGAGGAAGAGGGTAGAGGTGGACATCTTCGTCTAGGCCAAATTCCCAATTTCCCGAAGCAATAACAAAGTCATCCCCAGCCCCCTTGTTGGAGTCTGGGAGGTCGGCTACAATTTTGAACTCGGTAGACCTCGGCTTAAGGTAATAAACAAAGCCCCTTTCCTTCAGGTTGAGGGGGCACATTGTATAACAGTACTGAAGGTCGGCCAGGGTGATCCTAAGATTCTCCTGCCTAGCTAAAGCTATAATACCGTTAATCACCCTATAGGAGTTGATAGTAAGTTGCATGGGGTTCAGCTTGTAGAAATAAAGAACTTCACGAAACAGGGGATTAAGTGGAAGCCGAAGTCCACATTCAGTAAAGGCTACTATAGGAAAGGGCATCGTATGGTCTGTGGGCATGATGGTATCATCATCCCCAGCTAGCTTAAGGTGAACATCGACTGGGATAGAGAATTCCTGCCTAAAGTATTCAAGTTTTGTTGGGGTATTTACCCTATGCCTCCACATACCCATTACGTCAACCTAAACAAAGAACAATGTGTTTCAGAAGATGGGCGTTTAAAGAAGGGTTGCAAGAACCTCGGCAAAGACCTAGGAAAGGACTGATAAGGCTTGTTTCAGTTTTCCCTAAAAAATTGAAGGTTCTACACACATATCCCAAGCCAAAAAACTATAAAGATCAATATCGAAGGCACAGATCTGGAACAGATACGAAAAAACAAGAAAACAAAGGCGAAAGTTTCAGATTCAATAACAAAGATGGGCTATCAGAAACACGAAGAATACAAAGGGTTAAAGGTCAAGAATTATGGCAAGAAAAGTGTTGAAACAGTGCAAGTGTTCAAAATATAAATGAAATCATGAATAGACACATCCAGATAACAGTTCAGCGAATCCAAGGTTTGAACAAAGCAGTAATGGTAAAAACACATAAAAGAGATTGGGAGTAAAAGGAACAGGACCTTACCAGAACAAATGAAGTCAGAAAGAACGACGCCGAGAAATGGTAACAATTGCAGGCACGACGAAACGGAGGAAGCTTCGCTAAGGTGGACAGACAAAAAATCGCAGAACTTCGAGTTAGAACAATGGTGGATTTCAGAAAGTTTAGAGAGAGAGAAAGCAAGAAATCAGAATGCAAAAAGTAAAGAAAGGAAAGAAAAGTTTTATCAAAACTTGAAACGGCGGCAAAAATAGGGCATTTATTACGCCTGGAGCAACGCACGCGTCAGACGGCGCAGACGAGTGAAAGACAGCTTCCAGGCGCGTCACAAACACGCTCCAATGAAAACAAAGCACGTGAAAGGAACGGTTAGATATGCATGACAGCTCATGCGCGTGGTGGAAGTTCATTTTGAATTCTTGTTTTCCGAAGGTAACACATCGGCTTGAAAAATGATTATCTCACCCAAACAGTTTCTTAGCCACTATGCAAAAAGAAATATCGATATAGGTTCCATCACCTCAGAATGCCGAGGTAATAGAACTTAGGGGGCAGTTGTGGGGACATATTTCTTGGATACCAACACGTGGCATGACGAAGCCGACATATAAGCCAAAGTGTCACATATCATGGTAGTTACGCCGAGGTGATCTCGGGGTTGCCGAGGTTATCTCCGAGGATATTGGAATCCGAGATAAGCGGAGAAATGGATAAGAGGCAAGAGTCCTAAAGAGAAAAAAAGACTTAGCCAAGATAAAGATAAAGTTCTTAGGGAGTTTATCTTTATCTCTTGAAGAATCCAAAGTCAGTATTGAATTGAAGTCCATAGAAGTCAGGCTTCTAGTGGAACTAGGATTGAGTAAACTATAAAAGAGAGGCACCCCCATGGGTCTAAGGTACACAATTCTATATTCAAGCTTGTGAGTTTAGCACTTGATTATCTTTAAGAAATATACTGACTTGATCGTCGGAGTGCCCTCGCGTGGAAGAGCCACCGCCGGAGCCTTTTTCTTTCTTTTACAGGTTACTGAAGCCATCTATTCTGCCTGTGCTCTCCAGCTGGTTACTAAACGGGCAGTGTGGTCGGAAAATCACCCACACAATTTTATAATATAAAATGATATAATTTTTTTCTCATCACAAATATACATTTCGTTTGGTAGTACACATCATAAATATTCGCAATCTTCTCATAATAACAATAACAAGTAATTAAAGATGACACATAATTTAATCAATTGGATCTAAAATGAATGAAGTTTGATAATCTAAAATAAATTTTTGATTGAGACTAGACTACAAATATTTTAGATGGGCTCAAGATAGTCCCCACTATTTGTATAATTAAAAAAGACCAAACAGTTAAGTAAAACTTACATACATAAATCCAAATTAATATGTCATAGGTCTTAAAACCCAAAACTTCACCAAAGTTCTGCTAATCCGTCAATTTTGGAGAATAAACACCCATCATTTAAATTCTGATTTTTTTTATTTTGTTTTTGGTCTTTACAGTTTCTCTAGTTGCCAATTCTTCTAATGTTTTGACTAACCTTTTTGTTTCAGTATTTTGGGATGCTAATATATCCATTTGTCTTACTAAGAAATTACACTTATCTTTAAGATAGTTAGACTGCCTGCTAATATCTATGCTATGAGTTTAGTTTCAATATGACACTACCGTTTAAATTGAATTTTAAAATTAATAATTTTATAACAATTGTCAGCCTCTTGAAATGTATATGTAGAAGAGACAGATAATTCAGAAGGAAGAAACAAATTGCTACTGAATTTAATATATAAGAATTAAATTATTCAAATTAAAACAATAGAAATAAATTGTAGAGATTAAAAGTATAATTTATTTTAGGGCAAATTACACTAACAGTCTTTATAGTTTGGGACTCGTATCACTTTAATCCCTGACTTTTCAATTGTGACACATTTGATCCTGAATTTTGAATCTTGTTCTATATAAGGACAATTAAAGATATCATTACTTAATTTCAAAGACAGAGTCGTCAATTTGATAAAATATATACTAATTTGACAAAAATAAATGTCAAAAAAATATTTTTGAATTTTTAAAAATTATTTTTACCCACCAAAATCAAATTATGTGAAATTGATAGATCATTTACACATTTATTTATTTATTTTAGCAAATTAATTTCTATTATGTGTTTGGATAATGGTCATGTAAGAGATGATTGTTAGACTTTTAATGTGTAATCGATGTATTTAATATATGAAATCTTTTTAGTTTTGAATTTTTTGATTGAATAGATTGGTGTAATAATGATATCAAAGTTGTCATCATATTTGACTTTTGGAAAAATAAAAACTAATTTAATAAAATAAAAACAACCACTCAATACATGATCATCATCCAAACACATAATAAAAATTAATTTGGTAAAATGGATAAATAAATGTGTAAAAGATTTATCAATTTTATATAATTTTATCTTTGGTGGGTAAAAATAATTTTTAAAATTTTAATAATTTTTTGTTATTTATTTTTGTCAAATAAGTTTATATTTTATCAAATTGACAATTTTACCCTTGAAATTGAGCAATGGTATATTCAATTGTTTTTATTTGGAACAAAAATCAAAATTCATGGTCAAATGTATCAAAATTGAAAAATCATGAACCAAAATGACATAAGTCCCAAACTATAGGGACCTTTAGTGTAATTCGCCATTTATTTTATATATTATATATAAACTAGTGTATGTGCCTGAATGTATGGTGTAAATAAAAAAAAAAAGTGAACAAAATGAAAAAAAAAACAAATAGGGAGAAAAATAAAAAAGGAGGGAAAATAAAAACAAATAAATAAAAAGAGGGAGGCAGGAAGATGGGATCATGGTATCATTCATGAGATTATTCATGGGATCATGTGAGGATAGGTGAGAAAAGAAAAAAGTAAGAGAGAGTAGTGAGAAAGTAAAATAGGAAAAGTAAGAGAGAGTAGCGAGAAAGTAAAAAAATA